AGCAGAGTGTTGAAATTTGAAAAACAAGGGTGTAGGGATGGGTGAATGGAGCCCAGAATAAATAGAGTCGCTAGCTAATGTGAACTTTGAGATATTCTGTTTTGGAATGGGTATAATTTGGTGGACCAAGAAGGACGAAAGGTGAGACCGGATTGTGTTCAGTGACAATAAAGCTAGAGAGTTTGTAGGACAGCAAGAGTTAAGATGTGGGTGTGGAGGGAGACTGGGTGCATTTGACAATGCAAGCAGGTTCTAAGAGAGTGAGGCAGAGATGTTGACATTGACAAGGAGTTCAGAATATGGGACTCTGCCATGAGTGATGCAAAAGTGCATTAGTGACCCCAGAACAGGTGAAGCTGGGTAACACTGATCTATGATTGTTCCTAAGCCTGGGTAGAGTCAAGCCATGCATTGAGTGTTGGGTGAAAGAACATGTCACTGATTAGACAGGGAGGAGCTGTGTACTCAGAGGTGGGTTTGATTTATCTCCTTGATCTCTTACCATTTGTAAATGAAAGAGATCAGCTTTTATATGTGTGAAGTAAGTGAGCAATAATTAGCAGTAGGTGGCTTGGACTCTTATTTTCTTAGACTGAGAGCATCAGACTTGCCTTTGCCATGACCTACATTAGCCACAGGACTCTCTATAACTCATGTCTCTCAGGCTTTGCTCCATGATTTGCTTTGTTTGATATGCAGGGAGATTTAGTGGGTCAGACTGTCCAGCCCCCTGGGAAAGCCTGTGGAGTTCAGTGCTGACACTGCATTTAATGCTACCAGTTAAGCCACCTCACTGTGAATAAAGACTCATTCATTTACTATAACATGTACTTTCTAAACCCTTCATGAGGCATTCTCTTGAGATTTCTCATTCTTCTAAGAGGTGGTTAGTACTAAGTGTCTATTTGGGAATGGATCCAAAAATCAATAAATGGAAGGCTCTCTAGAGCTTTCACTTTGTAACTCTACTTGTATTTTTTCAAACATTTCTAGCTGTTTATTTTTAAAGTATTTGCTGTGTGGTGAGAATACCAACTTAAATAATTAATATTGTTAGACACAATTATCAGAAGGAAACAAGCCTTTGCTCTTTGGAGAAATGTACTGAGAATAAACCTTATTTCCTCTTGTGATTGAGGCTCTCTGCAAGAAAATCACAGCAGATACAGATGTTCTTAAAGTATGGCTAGCTTCTTATGACCATAATATGTAAGTGAAGTTCTGATGGGCACTTTTGACTTGGGAAAGGGAGATAATTGTTGGGGAAATGTGGAGAAGAGAGAAAGTTGAGTTTTCTAGAAAGATTTCTCTGACTGCTTTCAGCTCAGAATGACACTGTTATTGCTTAGGCAGTGATTTTTCTGATGGCACATTCCACTTTTGATGGCAGAAAAAAATTTAGGCACAACAGTTAGATTCACCCCTATTAGGCAAGAATGTATGTAACTTTTCAGACAGCTTGTAAAATTAGGTTATTTTCTCCTGCCAGGAATGTTACCCATTGGAGTTTAAAATGATTGCCTACCATATTTTACTGGTCAACTTTACTTTTATCAGTTCTGTAGCTTCTTTTGAAAAAAACAAAACAATAAGAAGACTTAACTGCTTGCATTCATGTTCCTCCACTGAGGCCATCAGCTGGACCTAGGTAAGAGTGGCTTGAGGTAGGGCCCTTTTCTACTGGCCTCATCACTGCTCTGCTTCCTTATTTTATCCACCTGGCTTCTGTATGGACCTTGATTTGTGACTTAGATTTTAAGTCCTTAGTAGGTGAATAACTCCTCCAGTCCACAGCTCCATCTCCCTATCAATCTTCTTACCTCATCTGTAATATTCTACCTATGAATTCTGTCCAAAAGTCTCACTGATATTTAAATTATGACATGCTAAAGATTTTTTCACCATTCCCTTCTTTGCTTTATTTTTTTCCAATTTCACCACCAACTTCTTAACTCTCTCAACATTAAGTTGTTACAGATTCTTCCTCTTTTGCTTCCACATCTAAAGGTCACCCATAATGACTGGGTCCTCCTTGACCGTGCTGCCTCCCAGTCCACGTGCTCCAGTCCACTTCCACCTTCCATCTGTAGTTACAGTTGATTTACATAGAGGTTGCTCCATCTCCTAGCAGCTTGTCTTATTCTAGGTTCTGCTCTTCTTTGTTATGCAGGCAGGGACAAGAATATGTTTAATCAAATTTCCATTTTGTCACTTTGCCTTTCAGAAAGGTGTGTGATTGTCCATCACCAATTATGTCAAGTAGAACTCACTTTGTATTTTCAAGGCTTTGCCAGTTGCTCCCACAGAACTAAAGTTCATACTTCTTGATTTGGATTCACTACATTTCTTTTTTTTCTTTGTACATTTTGTTGAGCATTTATCTGAGATCAAATAATCCCTATTGAAATAAGCTTCCAACAGCATGAGCTTCATCAGCAATACATTTTCATATTTTAGTAGTACTAAAAAGCTGAAGAGTAAACTTGTGTGCTCCACATCGTTCCTCCAGATTTTGAGGGACTTAGGATACACACAACTTGTACTCAACCTGCTGTTTACCACCTTCCACAGATCTTTGCACGCCCAAATCTCCATTTGCTTTGCCAATTCCTGACCTCATATGAATCTAGTTCAAATTCCAACCATACCTCAGTGCTCACCCTGGACTACACTCCTTGACCTTGTTTATTCTTTTGCTTGGCATTCCCTTTGAACTTGTACCTTGGGGTTTTGAAGTGTATAGTGGGTCAAAGGATGTGCAAGCTTGAATTTAGTTCTGCCTCATGTTGACTAGGCAGTCTTAGATCTTGCTGAGCCTCCTTTATCTTAACAGTGAAAAAGGCATTAGTTAAACCAGTCTACTTGCATTTTAGATTCAATGTGGTAAGGAATGCAAAGAAGCTGACACTCTCTAAGTAAGCCAATATCTCAGAGGTCATCTCCAGCCATACCATATGGTCACAAATTAAACACTTCTTTTGAGAAGTGTTTAATTTCTGGTTTTGAAACCAGAGTTTTGGACCCAAGGCCCAAACTCCTAAGATTCCATATGCCAGTTCTGGCTACCTGCCAAATAAAGAGGCATGGTGAAGGCAGAGAAAGATTTATTACACAGCTTGGGACATGCCATGGCAAGAGGCAGAGTAAGCACTTAGCTCATCCTCAGCCATCTTCAGGATACAGATATGAGCCATAGGTTTAAATAGATAAAAGAACTGGGGACAGAGGACAAAGGTATGCATAGTTAAACAGTCTCAGTCACAGGTGTAGTCGTGACTGACAGAGCAGTCTTGGTCAAGCAGGTGGTCTGGTGGGTTCGTGACTGGCATACCCTGCAGTCTTGGTCTGGCAGGTGATCTGGTCCAGTTTTGGAAGTTATCACCTGGAGGGAGTAATCTGGTTCCTGTTTGAGAGGGTTCCTGGGATAATTGTCCTCACTGGGAGCATGGCAGCTCCAGGTGGCTTCAGTTCATTGTCATAAAGATATTGCCAGATCTGTCCAAGGTGATTGTAAAGTGACTGCAAAGAGAATTGATTAGAGCAAAGACCGATACAAAATGGAGGCAGGGATGCCAAGCTTCTCCTGGTTTTAGTTAATTCATGGGCCCAAGTATGGAGTCAGAGCTTTTCAGCAAAAGCTGTTTGAGTGCCTCTTATAATTTTGCTTATCTCTGTGTTCCTACACCTTGGCCAGCATAGGTTAACTCTTCAGAAAAATGAAGATCATGACTGAGAGATTGTTATGGTCAGTTTGATTATTTCACAGGCTTCTTGTCTCATACTGTGAGCAGAAACATGTACGGTAGGAACACAGGACACTCGCTGACTATACCTGTCTAAAAATGTGCTAAGAGTGCCTGCAGGTTCATGACTACCTTCAATGGACAATGAAAGGAAGTTTGAGGATTTTTTATCTTTTTTTGGTATTTTTTGCCATCCACTTCATCATCTACTTAAGCCTACACTTATCATAGTTGCATACAAAAAGCATGCAACTCAATACTCACATGACATTTATAATTAGTTACTATTTGTTGTTCCTTTATTTTAGGAATTTAGGTCAGAAGGGGTGCTTCATTTCTCAGAGTTTCCATCTTAATTTGCTTCCAACATATAAGACACAAGTTTATAATCATTGGTAATTGAGGAGTCTTCTCCAAACTTATTTTACATGAAAACATTTCCAATACCATTACCATAAACAATGCCATCACAATTAACATTAAAATTAAATCTCATTTGCATAAATTTCCCCCAAGAACTCGACATGGCGTTATCTCCCATTTCATGTGTACACAAAACACTGTTTACTATGAAAAGGCAAAGTGTCAAAATAAGCAATGTTATTACATTCGGTATGTAAATGAAAGTGGTATAGAAATGGGGTTGTATTGGAGATGAAATTAATTGTGACAGTTCAGGAGGAGTTTTACATAAAAAGAGGATTAACCTGTTAGGTCTTCAGAGGCTGTCTTCTGTGATGCATATAATGTTAGGCAAAATGAAATCTTTATGCGCCCAAGCTCCTGGAAGAATGTTTATTGAGTCCATAGAAATTTGAGCAGGGCACATCTGTAAGGGTTCCTGACAGCCTGTTTCTTTTCTCAGTGTGGGGATGAATTCCATTAGCATCTAAACTGGAAGTCATCATGATGGTGATTCTTTTGTGATTCATTCTCTCTCCCTCTTTTGTTTATTTGTTAAGGAACTTGTACAGAAAATGTATTGCTTATTCAGAAATAAGTTGCTATTCTCTTTCAGACCAGGTGATAATATTGTTATTTCTTCAGTCATTTTTGAATACATAATAGGGATTATATAGTTAAACCAGATCTAACTTAATTTGTTTATTTGATTCTTCAACATAGGTTAAAGAATACAGTCAGTTATTACCCAAAAGTCACATTTTCAAGCTGCATTGCCTTTTGAATGATTTTTGCAATAATAATACAAAAAGATTATTTATATGTAATCACTTTCTTTTCCTCTTTTTCTCCAAGGTAGTCAACATGTCTGACAAAAGCGACTTAAAAGCTGAGCTTGAGCGCAAAAAGCAGCGCTTAGCACAGATAAGAGAAGAGAAGAAACGGAAGGAAGAAGAGAGGAAAAAGAAAGAGGTAAATATTGGATGTTTGGGTGTATGGGGTACAAGAAAAATAACTTGATTGTGAGAGGCTAGTTTTAAGTGGAGAAATGACCCCCTCAAGGTGTTCTTTTACAATATCTAAGCAAAACGAGTGGATATCTACACACTCAGAATAATAAGGTCATTGCCATTGCTAGGTTCTTGTCAGGCATCACCTAATTAGTGGATAGCATTTGATCCAGAGGTCCCCAGAACTCCAGTTCACTCCAGAGTGGAATAGAACTGTGTAGGTGGTTTGTGATCTCTTTACTATTGGATATCTCTTAACCTTCCTGAGCCTCAGTTTCTTATCTTTAATATTGGAACACTAATATATTTTGTGGAGTTGTGAAGATGAAGGAAGCTAATCATATATAGCATTTAGCAGTGCTTAGGCAATAGTTAGTTAGTACTTAAATGTAAGTTTGAAGAAAAAAATTTTTTGCAAAGATTATCATCAAGAATATTTTAGAGGAAAAATAGAAAGTAATGCGAAAGGATTTCCATTGATTCCTAAGTGGAATGTATTTTTCAAGGTAAATAAGAATCCTAGGTCAAAAGGTGGATAGGATAGTGTGGACACGGCATTATTGGGTGTTAGATGTGAAGGGGATTTTAGAGTCCTTCCATCATGACCCCACTTTATGCCAACCAAGCAGCAAGGCTCCAGAAGTAAAATCCAGCTTTCCTGTTGCTAGATCCAGAATTCAAGACTCTTGACTTCCAATTCAAATCCTGGCTGACACATCATGTTTTCTTCCACCACCTCAGTCCAAGAAATAGCTTATTTTTAATTCTCCACTTTGTTGTGGTAGGATAGAAATAACCCTTATCTTATAAGAAAACCAGATGCCAAAGACATTTTTGAATAGTCTACTAAGAAAACTTTGTGTGGCATGATACACTTGAGTATATAGAAATCAGAGCTGCTTCCCTACATACACAGTGTTTTTCTTTAAGGAGAAAGAAAATGCATCGTGATGCCTTCTGGGGTAACAAATGTTGTTTCATACTACCAGAGTGGGAGACCAAAGTAACAGATTTATAACAATTATGATTTTCCAACAAAATAAAACATAATTGCAGTTGCATTTTAGCCTTCTGGTACCTCCCATCCCTCCACACCATTACACTTTGACTGATGTGATAGTTTATTTGTCCTTGACATTGAGCACAATAGTTTTCCCTTGGAGATCTTTGCTGTTATGTATGCACTTTTTGGGTTGAAATAAGAGGTGAGAATTGACAAGGAATGGCTATTCATTTCCATGCAAAGCCAAAAAAGACATTAAGTTATTATGCTTCCTTTCCTTCAAATGTCAACACTTACTGTAGTTTTAAGCACCTGTTATCCTTTACTAATAACCAGTTTCCTTTTAAACTGACATTCTAATATCCAACTTGAATTTCATAGAATTACCACAAAATGTGATGTGATGTGATATAAGAAATACAGCTCCAAATTATGTTGTCTGCTTCATGCTTTTCATTTTACACATTTTGAGGAAATTATAGGCAAATCAGACTGATCAAAGTCAGCTACCCCTTTTGCCACTATACCAAGCAGTTTTGTCTAATGGAGATTTATCCTCTTATACAGTCAGAACCCTGGGACACCAAAGGTGGCAGGTGGTCAGGAGTATAGAACACCTGGACTCCAGGTGTTCATTGGTCTTTACCTGGCTCTATAACTTAAAAATATAGAAGGCCTTAGTTTCCTCATTTCTAACTGAGATGTTCAAGCTTGTGATAACAAAACCCTGCTCCATAGAATCACATGACAACTCAGTCCTACTCTCCCTCCCTAAGTTTCTGATTCAGAAGATTGACAGCAGGGCCAGGTTTTGAGATGCACTGGACTACATTGTATTTAAGGTCTGCCCTGGCTTTAAATCTCCTTTCTCCAGGTAGCCCATCTTCCTTCAAAGAGATCTTTCTTCTGTTCAGTTTAAGTGTCTTTTCCAAACTGTTTTGACTTGGTTTGTTCAGAGCAGCCAATGCCGTCAAACAGAAGACTGTAATGCCTGGTGGTTCCACACAGAGACTTTTGCATTGAGTGTGGCTGGAAACTTGACTCTGTCCTTCACAGGATGACCTTTAGCCTGTTTCCTCTTCTATGAAATGGAGAAGAGTTTGTACAGAGTCAAGAAGATACTGGAGTGTGGCAAATCGACACCAAGGAATGGATTAGTAAGAAACAGTTCATTCTGCTTCGGAGACTAGCAAGCAGTGTAGGTGAAGGGGACCCACAGCATGGATGTGTACATTGATCAGAATTCATCTTATAATTTAAGGCCCCTTATTTCAAGGGATTATAGCATCTTGTAGCAGGAAGAAATCTAGATGAGGAAGAATGATGGTGGGGATCAGTCTAACCAAAGTACATTGCAAGCATATATAGAAATGTTACATTGTAACCCTTCTGTATGACTATTACATGACAATAAAATTTCTTAAAAATAAAAAGAAAAGAAATCTGTAAGTAATCTGTTCTGATCTCTTATTTTCAAATCAGGAAACAAGGTCTAAGCCTTAAAGGTAGTCTTCCTTTTATCTCTAGGACCCCCTCATCCAGCCAGGTGTTCAATCAGAAACTTGGGGACATTCTTTCTATACCTCTCCCCACTTACAGTGATCATCAGGTTCTGCACAGGTATAACAGGACTCTCTTTTCTTGCCCATTTCTTTTCTCACTAAAACCCGTGTACTAGCCAGATTCAGTTACAAGTTGCGCATCCCTTATCTGAAATGTTTCAGATTTTGTATTTTTCAGATTTTAGAAGATTTGCATGTACACAATGAAATATCCTGGAGCGAGGGACCCAAATCAAAATATGAAATTAATTTATATTTCATATATGTCTTATATATAGATAGATATGATTTAAAAGTGATTTTATGCAATATGCTTAATAGTTTTATGCATCAAACAGAACTTCATGGTATAGAGTTCTCCACTTGTGGCACCATGTCGACACTTAAAGATTTGAAATTGTAGAGCATTTTGTTTTTCAGATCTATATATCCTTTATGGACCACACTTACTCTTGATAGAGAGTTTCCTTTCACTGTTCTTCTACTTCTGACTGTTGTCTGTCACTGGCTGTTAACTGCGTGTCTCTCAGTTCTCATCTCACATGTCATGTCCTCTGGAAAGCTGCCTTTTACACCTTTAACTACCCATCACTAAGGCTGCACTCTATCTTTGACCTTATCAAGCTGTTCAGCACAGAGCTTCGTATTTACCTTTTTACTTGTGTTTCTCTCCCAAGAGATTGCAAGTTTTCAAGGCCACAGCTGTATGCTGGTTTTTGGTTTGCTGTGATTTTATTTGAAATCATTGAATCAAGGTCTAGCACAGATTTTTTTTTCCATAAACTTCTAATAAAAGATCATAGAATGACTAATGAGTGAATAATTAAACATATAAGTCACTAGGGTAGGTTTGGAGACACTGGTTGCAGGCATCCATTATAAGCATCTGGAGTGTCACTCTGCAAATTGCTTTGGAAGCTTCTTACCCTGAATCTACGGAATGTTTCAGTCAACTGACCACTGTCATCAATGCCTGAGTTTAAGATGCTCTAATTTTTATGTTGTTTATACAGAGTTAGATATAACTTTGAGGAAATAGGTTTGATTTTTGTGAACTTGCTTTAGGCTTATATTTAAATGAGACAAATAAAAGAAACAAAATGTTTTTTGATGATGAATTGGCTTTTTTTTGGCCAGGAGTCTGAGAACTAGAGTGAATTAGGACCACCCAGGTGGACCATCTCCACAGAACACAGCAAACCATATGCATGTATAAAATTACCACTCTGCACCTTTGGATGTCAATTGCTTTCTTGACTGTGGTATTATGGATGAAATCTGACTTTAAAATAAATATAGTGGCCACCATTTAAGACACAGGCCCAATTTCATGAAAAATTGGTTTAAGGTGAACTTAATGGGGGCCACCCTGAAATTCATTCTGTCCTTGACTGGTCATAAGCCGAATTACTAGAATGTGGGACTGGTTGGGGTTTCCTGGCCTGTCCTCACTTGTTCCTCTAATAGTTATAACGCAGTCTTTGAAAAGTGATGGATAGTTCTCAGCTGGCAAATGTTCTTTCTTTGACTGTCCTCTCTTAGTCTCAGCTGTGATTATGCCTCATAAACAGAAATATCACTTCCGGAAAAGGTATCTTGAAGATTTTTAATTATTAGTATTCCAAAACCACTCCATGGTCAGTCATTAAAAGATGATTCTGATTCTGAGTATTTACCTGGGAATAATGGAAAGTTTCACCACTAGGACCCTTGATATCATTGTCTTGGGTAATGTTTTGTTTAAGGTGCTAGTTGATAACTAGTCATCTGATTTTCAATAAGCCCCTGTTACCTAATTTTGTGTGTTTCAAGGTCAACTTTCAGTGTGGGTAGCTTTCCTATCATAATATCTACATGGACACTTACCTTATTAATACATGCCATTATACTGCCTGCTTCCTTAAAAATTTAAAAGGACAGAGGCAGAGTGAGTTGCAGAGGCACCATTTATTGTTTATTGAAATTTTGGAGATGGAATTCAGAAGTACTGCATTTGCACACATTATTGACATGTAATTTATACTCTAGCTATCTTCCTTGAATGCTGTACTGATTAACATGTAGTTTATACTCTAGCTATGTTCTTTGAATGCTGTACTGATTAAGATGAGAATAAATCTCAAAAACCAAAAACAGATCCTGTGCTTTTCTATACAGGCCATACATGACAGAAAGTTTTGGCTAATACATCCATGTTTGTTCAAAAGGAAACGATTAGGTAAATCTTTATTTATTCTATAAAAACTCCATTAGAACTTTCCAGTTTCATTTCCACTGACAGTGATTGTCCTTCAGTAAATTTTTGTTGGGGAAATTAAAAGTATTTTTCTTGCTAGCATATAGAAATGGTTCTGTTGTTAGTGTTGGGTATATAGATGCCTATATACCTTGTTCTAATGGTAGCATTGTAAAAATAGTTGCTGAATGGAGCATAGTTGATGGAATTTTCCTGAAGGATGTATAGTCCTAAGATCCTATAACTGTAAAACACAGATAGTAATCCATGGTCAGTAAAGATGACTATTTAGTTATGGCTAAGCTGTTGAAATATGATACCATTGCATGTTGGATTCCTGATGGAAATTTCACTTATCTTAGTATTTTCAATTGTATTTCTGTAGCTATTATGATAATTCCCTTTTTTTCCCCCTTCCCATCCTTCTTTTAACTTTATAACAAGTGAATGTGGATACAGAACTTCACTCTGTGGTGGTGTTTTTTTCTCATCATAGCTCTGTTTTTGCCTCTGCTACCCACATAAACTTTGGAACCTGCTTCTGTAGTTTAAGTGTTACAAGTAGAAAAGAATGAGAGCTTTATATATTTATTTGTTTTGCTTAAAACCATTTTTTAAACATTAATATAAAACAAAAAGTAAATTATAACTTCAGTCCCCAAAATGTGAACTTTAATATGTTCATTGATAGAGCTAAAACTCCATTTCAGAATTTAGGGTTATGGGAAAGAGCTGGGATCCTCTAGTAGTCTTTAGCTCTTATTGGCCTCCAAATGAGAGTTTTCTCTTCTGTGAGAAACAGACTTCGAAAGTACGAGTGCATTTTCAGCCCTAAGTGAATAATGACAAAGCCCAGAGCCAGGTGCAAGGATGCACTTGGCTTGGCATCAGGATGTAGGTTACCATCTGAGGGTAAATTGAAAGCTGTGTGAACTCTTTTTGCTTCAGATGCCATGACATCAGTTATGCTTCCCAGGCCCAGTGAAAGTAAAATATACCTACCACGGTGCCCACCTTGTCCTGGAGAAAGAAGGGATGTCCCTGGACACTGGGCTTGTGACAAGCTTTAGGACAGTCCCACTTCTGTAAGTGCACAAAGATTTCTTGTGAGGTAGCCCAGTTTATTTTAAACTGTGATTGCCTTATACTACCAACAGTAATGTACTTTATAGTTGCATTTTTCATAAGTATTTTTACTTTTCAGCCAGACCTCAACAACTCTTTTTCACAATGCCAAATATGGAACATGAATATAATACACACATACACACACACTCTCACATACACACACACTAATTCCTGTCCCAGAAGGGACAGGGAGGTCTGAAGCAACAGACAAAATTCCTTATAAATCATTTATAACCCAGTCAGAAATACTTTGCCATGATGGTTTCTTCCTGAACTGAGTAAAAGAAATTTTCTTACCATGTGATAGAAACAAGAAAAAAAATTCCTTCAACTGAAAGGGAAAGTATGAGGTCAGTAATTATTAAACGGAGTAGTTACAGTGTTTTTTCATCCATCCTATACGATTACATCCCTTTTGGGCTTTTGCCTGGTCTTTACTGCCATGCATTTTCTGTTTCAGTCAGGAAAAGCATACCTTTAGTGATGTTACTAGCTTTTCTTGCTGACATCTACTTTTTTTTAGGCGGATATGCAGCAGAAGAAAGAACCTGTTCAAGATGATTCCGATCTAGATCGCAAACGCAGAGAGACGGAGGCTCTGCTGCAAAGCATTGGTATCTCACCGGAGCCCCCACTAGGTACTCAGAATTGATTTGTGTTACTCATCCTCAAATTGAACTTGCATAGAATATACCATGTCCAGCATTTACTATTCTTTTAAGTCGTTAGCTTTATTATTTTTATTTTAAAAGAAATTCTATGGCTTATGGTTCAGGTTGCATGTATTTTTGGAATTGAGGGGGCTAGAAGGAGCTGGGAAGGAGGTTGTGGAGTTATGAGAATTTTGCTAATGACTTATTAACTGATTCTGTGGTTAAACTTTTCCATTGTGTTACTAGCTGGTTATTTTGCACTTGTTAAGTGAGTTGCCACTTGGTAAATATAAGAAATCATGGAATTTTTAAAATTAAATTTTTCTTCAATTCCATTGCTGAATCCCAGCCTCTCTTGCCTATAAATACTGTGAATCTGGATATAAATTTCATGATCACCAGAGGCAGAATTATTCCATAATGAAAATATAATGCTCAGGGGGAAATTTGTAGGAAACCTTAAAGTGATGGAAGATTAGCAGCTAATCAACAAGTTAAAATTTATTTGAATCTATTGTGTATCTTGATTTCATCACAAATTAGCAAGTTCACTGCAACGCCCCTCCTCCAACTCACTCATTCCTAGTTGATTGTTCATGAATACTTTTTATCACTAAGGTCTGGATGTTGAATTATTTGTTTTATTTATTTTGAAGGTAGCTATGCATGCGCTTATGCAGTCACCTATATATCTCTCATGTGATAAGTTATTTTATTTTTCCTTTGTTCTTTTATTTCCCATCATTCAAGAGTAATCGTAGGGTGTCTGTAAAACTACATGATATCTAACATAGTTAAAAAAAAATAAATAAACCTTCAAAATAATACATAGAAATACATGAAATGTCAGATCAGTTTTAAATGTTTGTCTTCTTTTAATTCTATTGTTAGTTTCCATGTTAAGTAAAACTTCAATTATTTCCATGGTTACTTAAATTAAGAATAAAATTTATCCATATTCAATAAATATTTCTATCACTATTAAGTAAGAAAAAGAATGTATAAGCCTACAAATTTGAACGTGTTGCTGGGTGTAATTTAATGCACGCACAAAAAGCATTTTTTATTCAATCTCACTTTGTAGTAGGTAAAAATCATACATCTAACAATGATATAACAAGACTTAATAATATTAGATTATTTTGTTTAACTTCCTTACATTATGGAAGATGTAACCTATGGGGTATTTGACTGATAACTGGTAGACCTTCTTTAAGAAGCTGGCCCACTTCTCTGTACCTTGCTGACATTTGATGTAAAATAGACACCTTGCCTCAAAATAGTCTTTGAAATGCTGTTGCTATGTCAACACTAGTTAAACACAGTGGTAGCATATCCTATTCTCCTCTACCCTACATAAAGCCAGTAATTAAACTTTCAAAACAAAACACTTAACTATTTCCAATTCATAACTAAGTTCTCAACCCTCCCTGCATCCCTGCCAAAGGGCCCTGAGAAGGATGGACTCATCTTCATTTTTCATCCATCTCTCTGACTTACCCTCTGACTCCATGTGGAGGGTAATCAGGAACAAATTGAAGAGCCACATGAAAATTCCCAGCTTTTTGACAGATCTGCCATTGTTATAGGATTTGGACAAAATAGTTAAGCCCTTTACGCTATTAAATAAATAAAAGGAAATTGCACGTGATTGAAACCAAATGGAAATCTGCACTTAGGTATTGAAGTTCTTTCTGCTCATATGGCTTCTTTGGCATGTGAGATATTAAGAACCCCTTGAATGGTCTGGCCTGGAGCCATCTTGGCTCTTTGGTGCAGCTTCTAGCTGAAGGACAGCTGGCTTGTATCTGAGGGTTAGAGAAGAAAAGTACATTTGCATTTCTTTAGCTTTTTTTCTTTATTATCCTGGCTCTCAGATTTTTAGGTCATGCTGACCTGGATCTTTGAACCTGTCTCCTGTCTTCCGGCTGGCAGTTCACTTCTGTGCCTATGCCAGTGTCTTCAAGGGCTGCCGGAGGCAAAGAAAAACATTTCATTCCATTGTACAATGAGTGAAACCATTAATTAAATGTAAAAATAAAGCAGCCTGGCATTTTCCTTTGTTTTGAAAGAGATTTTTTAATTACCAGGTTCAACATTTACCCTTCCTCTATCTTAGTGTCTCATGGCAAAGTAGTTTATAGTCCATGGACAATGTATTTCCCCCAAATGCAAACATACAACAGATTTTCTCACTTTTTTGACCATTTAAAATTATTCATGGTCACTTAATTTCATATTCTTTGAAAGCTTTATAGACACCCCATTTTATCTTTTTAATAGGTCACATCTGTACTAACAAAATAAAGTGAAGAATTGAAATTATCTGATAATTCATACTAGAGAAATGTTTGACTTGGATTATCTGGATAGCTATTTTGGTTCTCCATTTTACTTTGTTACTTGGACATGGCCTCAGAATCCCTGTTAATTCTGTCTAAATTCATTTCAAATTTTAATTTCTAAAATACAAAAAATTCACTTGACTTTCTTCCTTTTCTTTCCTTTTTTTTTCGTATCCCATCTCAATCTCTCCTGGCCACATGACCACTTTGATTTGGGCCCATTTGTTTTGATTTGTCTGACACTGCTCTTCACCAGTGCAGCCGCTGCATTTTTTAACATGGGATACCTGTTATTTTCATTATTTAGTCCCAACCCCTATGTCTCCCTCCTCGAAATCAGTGAGCACTCCCAGTGAAGCTGGAAGCCAAGACTCAGGTGATCTGGGACCATTAACAAGGTAAGAATTGTCCTTTTAAAAGGTCATGGTGGGATGTCAATAATAAAGACGAACACTGTTATACATACCTGCATCTGCATGTATGCTCAGTCATTTGTGTTTCAATTGATGCTGACCTGCTCTTTGTAGTGGCATGGCAATGATTTTGAACATAAGACATGATAAGCATATAAGCCTTGAATGGGCTAATTTAGGAGCTTGTGTCTTGCTCAACAAATATAAACGTATTGATTAGCTTCAGCCTAAAAGAAACGGGGAAGGACCAAAGATAAATTGAATTTATATACAGCTTTTCTATTTTGGTTTTATTTTCTAACACTAAATGTAATTTCTGTGCAAGTTTACTACTTTGAGAACTCAGTCCCCCAAATGTTATTGTTGTTATTATTCATCAAGGTTGACTGCTTCTACTTAGTGAGTTAGTTTCCAAACTTTTACTTGTATTACACCATCTATATTTATACCTTGTGTAATTTCTGAAATAGTTTATAGATATCCTCTAATTTGATCACTGAAGGGATATCAGAAAAATAAGAATGTGGAAAGAGGAAAGAAGATTCACTAATGTACATGGAGTCATGGTAATTCTTTTAATCTGTTTTTGCCAGGATTCCCAGGCAGGTGATATTTATAATGAGTGTGGAGTGGGAACCTGTAGCAACCAGTTAGCAATCATCCCATTTCTAAAAAGGCCAGATGGCCTCTTTCTGGTTCAAGGTGGTTGAACTCATGTGGGAATATGGATCCAATTTTTCCACCTCTAGAAATTCATATTTATGCAATAATCTCCTAAACAATGAATACTAATGACTTTTGTTAAAAGCAGCCATGGGTCTGATTTGACCTATGGGCTAGAAATTTGTGATCTCTGGGTTTGACTCTTAATTTTTAAAAAGATCATAAAATATCTCAATCAAGCTTCAAATAAAAGAAGAAACAACCATCCTTGGCACTACTCTGCTAACCTATCAGCTTTTTAGTTGTCTATGTTCCTTTCAACCCTTGTCTACCTGAATACATTTCTTGCCACAATATGTACTCATTATTGAGGGATGAGGTACAAAATTTTGGAAATTTTCCATTTTCCACCTAATGCATTATTTTCTAAGCATTTTTTCTGAAAGTACACAGTTTCCATAGAGGCTTAGGCAATTTGGCAAATAAATCTGTGCACATGCCAGGTGTGTTGGCATGTAACTATAATCCCAGCACTCAGGAAGCTGAGAAGGGAGGATTGCAAGTTTGAGGCCAACCTGGACTACATCTTAAGACTCTGTCACAAAAACTCAAACCAACCAACCAACCAAACAAACAAAATCCAAAAAAACCACCTGTGGACATAAGGATTGTCTAGCACAGCATTGGGCTGGAGGCTTCCTTGCTTCCTGGCTTTTAGAAACAACATGTAAGACTAGAATGATCTCACCCATCTCTGCTTGATGATGTGCTTTAGGATTGAGTGCTTTGTTTTGAGAGAGCCTTTTGAAACCAGTGGACATTGCTTTTGAGAAAAATGAAAGTAGAGTTTTTTGCGTGCACAAAGCTGGTTCATTTTAGCAAATCGTCTTTGTGATTTGGGACAGATTATGTCTTCTGTCATGTTTTGCTGGAGTACTTCAAAAGGTCTGGGGGGGGCAAGAAATAATGACACAGTTGTATAAGATCTAACATTTATTCAAGAGCTGGCATAATATAATCACATTCCTTAGGGGGTCCACTGGCCTATCATTGTTAATATATTTGACTGTTTCTATATAATGATGGTGGTGTGTCATTACTACTTAGCTTCAAGGGGTGCACTTGGTAGCATTAAATTCTATTACTGACTTCACAGTTGATGAGCCCTTTTGAAAACTTTCTAGAGACAGCTGGCCTAATTATTCCTTCTCAGAGAACATTACTCTTTTTTCTTTCACCTTGCATGATTGTTCGTTTAACTCAGTGAATCACTTTGGAAGAGGGGCAGTTCATTCCCACCCCACACAAACTTCAAAGGGACTTCATTTCTTTATAGAAAGGTTCTGGTAACAAAGGTAACTAGAAGCAATGAGTAAATCCCTTGCTAAGTGCAGGTTTCATAAGAATGCAAGAAAATTAGCATTGGAAAAAATAATAGTTTCCAAGAAAACTGAGCACAAAGTTTGCTCAAGAAAAATGAATTAAGAGTATCTTAATAAACCCTGCCCTTGATTTGAACTTGGGAGAATTCCACACAAATTTATGTTTTTATTTTAGTAAAGTAGATGTGAGAGCTAAATTGCAGGAGAGTATCATATTTTGGTTTTTGAAATTCCACTTAGAATGCCTTTTTATGTAGAAGCAACATCTTTGAACACAATTACTATTATCTTTAACTCTTCATAAAACTTTAGACTAGGAAAAGAGCTAAGGATCTAACTCTCTAGTCATATAGTTGCCAGTCTTGCAGAATTTGGACTCTTCCAGAAGATAACAGGAATAAAATTAATGTATGTGGTCACACCTATAAGTGCACATAAATTCTGACATTCATTTCCCAATGTTTCAACCACAAACTAAAATTTTCTTTAGAGAGCCAAATTGGCAAACATTTTTATAATCCCTGAACTGGTTAATCTGAAAATTAGCATACTTGATGTACCCTGCTATAGAGAAAAGGTTAAAATAGTGCAAAAAGCACTAATTTTTTAAATAAAATCCCTTTTATTGAGTTTCAGAGAATTGAGTACACGTGTTAGTAGGAATATGTAACAATTTTTCTATTAAAGTAGTATGATTTCATTAATTATTTAAAAAATTTTAAATGTCACAATTTGTTTTGCAATTTCCCCTTCTGTTGCTATAGCCCACTTCTTATTACAACTTATATCTGTGGTATTTTTTTCATCCTCTTGTTTGGTTTTGTTAGAATCAATTAATCATTACTCAGAATGGGCAAAGAACAAACTCTTGGATTTAAAAACTGAATTTTCTTTTTTAAAATTGTTGTGCTGGGTGGGGGCATATTGTGGCATTTACAAAAGTTCTATCAAATATGTCATACTTGAATTCACTCCCTCCACCATTTCTCCTTTATCCCTCCTTCCCCCAATTCCTGGATAAAATCTGAACTTTATTAATAAAACAGTTGAAAGGCTATTAAAGATTTCAAGATCCTTAATATAAAAACAGACCAAAATCTTTAATATACTATATGCATCTGGAATCCAACACAATATAAAGAGGATATTATGCATGATTAATTAGTATTGATTTAAAAGTACAGGGATATTTTAAGAAAGGACAATGTTACCATAACTCAGTATATAAGAAGTCAAAAAGGAAAATGTAACCATTGCAATGTATACTTAAATAACACTAGAGAAACTTAAATGTCTAGTCCTATATTTTAAAACTTAGCAAACTAGGAATAGAAATATATCTTCTCAATATGATAAAGAATATTAATTTGAAACCAACCCCTTTATAAGACTGAAGCATTTATAGCCCTTGAAGAAGGATGGCTTTTGTTTACTTGAATACATGTCTCTTTTCTTCAGGAAACAATAAATTCCTTGCCAACAGAGACTAAGTGACATTTGAGGTTGTGTCCACATAGTAGGCATTTCACAATGTTTATTGAAGAGGTCTCTGAGGCATAGAAAGAACTAGCAATTTTCTCAAGTTAACACAGAACATAGTCACAGTGGGAGGTTTGAACCTAGGCAGATTGATTCAAGTTCCCAGAGTCTGTACTTTTACCTGACATTATGTCCAACAATTAATATAAATGATACATGACCTACTCCATAGGGTTTTTATGAGAGATAACCAAATTAATATCTGTAAAGCACTTGGAAAGAAGTATTACATATAGTAAGCATGTGAGTTTTAGCTGTTACTATTACTAGTAATATGTTTTTCTCATATTTTGATTTAGCTATTTTTCCAGTTAGGAAAAGATCGTTTTAGATTTTCTCATTTAGGTGTCATTTTCAAATTTGATGAGTATACTTATTTCTTCCTCCAAGTAATTGTGTAAAATGCTGGACAACACCAGGCTAAGGACATACTGTAGTCTGTATCTCCAGAGACTTCTTTCCTGGGTTCTCCAACCTTTACTCACAAGGCTTCAGATATTGAACCAGAAATTAATCTATTGTAGTGATGATTGGTCATTCAGCCCACATTTATTGTTTTCACTTATATGGATGGCTTAAAAGACTTTGCACTAGGACTCTTCTCATTTTTGTTGTGGCCCCCTAGGGTTCTCAGTGATGCAGTCAAACTAGAATCTGTACTGGCCTGCAGAAACCTAGGACTGTGTAGTGACCTCATAAAGTTCATCTGAACACGAGAACATAGGCTACACCCTGTCACAAACCAGATTCATGGAAGAAAACTTTCAAAATGATTTCAAAGATAGACATCTCTCAATATAATAATACATTGTGCAGTCTCTTGCATTACACAGTAACATCATCCCGTGGGATCTCAACAAAATAGCTCAAAAGGAAGACTTCTAATGTTTGTTTTCCACAAATGGCATGGACAATGGTAATCTAACTGATTCCTACTTTGGTTTTTTTGACCATCTGTAGCCTTAACACCATCATTAAGTTCTATTTTCCAATTAATAGGGATATTTAAGCCACCTTCCCAACACTTTACTTTTAATAATTTATTATTATAGAAATAATACTTGTGCATTTTATACAATTCAAAAATATAAACATGTTAAAATAAGAACATAAAATATCATATTCCTACTACTAGAGATTAGCATTCTTAACCACTGACTTTATTTTTTCATACAATATGCATATCATCATATATATGATAAATGACATATGGCTGAGCCAACTACTGAATTTGCTTTTCTAATCAAGTATCTTTATTTTATATCTTCATCTTATCTAATATTGACACCATCTTCAGATTTCTCCAGTTGCCTGCAACATAATCCCATAGTACTTACAATTGATACTTTTCTCCCAATTATTAGCCTTTATTAGCCAAAACCCCTTATACCAATAGAATTT